CACAGCCCCAGGCCCAGAGGAAGGGCAAGGACTCAGGATCACACCCGCCTCCTCCGCTGCCTCTGTTCTTTCCACCTCATCGCATGGACACGAGAAGGCTGACATTGCGGAAACGCAGCGTCCTTCCTGCAGGACAGGAACGCTGAGACAAGTAGGCAGCATAACACGCCTGGCCCTGGCCTGCTGGACGCCCAGAGGGGACACGGTGCGCGAGCCGATGCCCTAAGGCCTCTATCTCCCTGGTACGGGGACCTCCAAAGGCCATGGGCTGCCCTTCCACGCCTACACACAGCCTGCCTGGGTTAGACACTGTCGGTGGCGGGTGGCAGTGGGGTGTCTGAGGGCCTTGGAGGTAAGACTCTGGGCCGGCTTGGGGCCCACGGGGACACCCACTGTGGGCAGAGGACCGCGGCTCCTGATTGCCATTTCCCTTGTGGCCTGAGGTCTCCAGCGCAGATGCTGGCCCCGGGGGTGTCCTTGCTTTGCTCCCAACTCAGCTCACTGCCACAGTCACTTCTCCGTTCCACGTTCCCAGTGGACAAGGGCCACCCCGCCCAGGCCTGGGTCCAAGACAGGCGCCAAGGCCAGCAGCAGTGGGGTTTGTCTGGAGAGGTCCTGTGCCCTCCTCAGGGATCCGAGCACCCAGCAGCAGGGGCCTTCGGGATCTGAATACAAAGCGAAGGTGCTGTCCTCACTCAGAGCCCCCGCCTGGGCCTCCCGAGCCAGCACAGGGCACGGCGGTGAGTGTGTGGGTACCGGGGCACGTGTGTGCCAAGCACCCAGGACTGTGGTAAGAGGATGAGAATCGAGTGAGTTGGCATGGGGCGGGGATTTCCTTTTTTAGAGAAATATAAGTTCTAGCTACCTTATTTTTTAAAGACAGGGATCTTAAGACTTAAGATTGAGTTGTTCAACTATATTAAATTTAGCTGAAACACACAATGGGTAAAACAAACTCCTCCTGGGAGATGGAGAGGCCCAGGCGGAAGGCTCCACCCCAGGGGACAGAGCTCAGCAGAGGCTGGTGACAGCTTGTGACAGGGGCAGGTTAGGGGCCGCGTATGTGCACAGGAGGTAGCAGAGGACATGATCTGACCTTCATATTTTTGTCATTCAAGGAGAACAAGAGGAGGGAAGGAAGCGCAGGCAGGAAGTCACAGAGCCTCCCCTGCATACAAACACTGCTTGTTTGGATCCTAGGTGGAATCCTGACTTTCCAGTGCTCTCCTCTCTGATCCTGCTCTGCCCGTCCTCCAGCTCCTGGGCTCTTCCCCGACCACAGCTTCCGGCCCTGTGAGGTCTCAGCTGCTGCCCACTCCCCAGCCCCCAT